CCGCCTGCGATCCCGCCCCTGCCCCAATGCGCCTTCGGCCCCCACCTTGAATGGGAAGTTGTCTTTCGCTTTGAACGTTTTGAAGTTTGCGGGGCTTGACCAGGAGTCGAACTCGGGCCACCCCACGCGGTACCAAATCAGGCTGTTGGTCGGCAGGCCTGGGTGTGGAGACGCGCCGGGCGGGAGAGGGGGGGCGCGCGTTGGAGAGGGGGCAGGGTGCGGGCTGGCAGATGCGGGTGGGGGTGCGCGTGCCCTCGTGCTGACTCGTAGGCGGCTCGTGGGCGGCTCGCGAAGAGAGCTGCTCCCATTGCTGCCACAAAGAAGCAGGCTGCTGGCAGGTATCCCCTTGGTTGTGCCATGCCCTGTGGCTGGCCCACCATGAGCACTGCAACCCTGTGCCAACCCCGCGTGCAACGTCAAAGTCATCCCCCTGCAGCCAACGCCCGTGAGCAGGCGTCAAAAGCGCCGGCCGCCGCTGATACCTGGAGCCCGGCTGCTGACCACAAAAACGCAGGCCGACGCGTGGAACAACGGTCCCAAAACAATGTGTGCTCACGTGCACACGTACACACACACGCACATACACACACACACACATGCGCGCGCGTCGCACCTGTCATGATGCAAGTGGTGAGGTAGGGGCTGACGTAACTGGGGCTCTGCAGGTGGGGGTACTGGTTCTGGACATAACCCGACGTAATGCATGACGCGTTGCGACTCAGCTTGTCCTTTGACACGCCCCACTGCGCCAGGGCGGCCGTCGTGGCCTTGAGGGGGCCGGCCGGGGGCGGTCCCATGACGGTCTGGCCGTTGCCTGATGCGAAGGTGACCGCCATCTTGTCGGGAGTGCCCCAATAGGTGAGGTGGATCTGGGGCACGTGTATGTGTGTGTGTGTGTATGTGTGTGTGTGCGTGCGTGTGTGTGTTTGTGTGTGTTACTCTCATGTGTGTGTGTATGCGCATGCGCGCGCGCACGTGTGTGTGTATATGCGCACGTGCGGGTGTGCGCAGTTGCTTGCTTAGGAACAATCGCTTGCCAACAGCCACACAGGGGAAGGCTGGAGCCGGGGCCCAGGGTGGCCGCTTGGTAAGGCGAGCTGTGGGGGCAGCCCAAAGGGGCAGGGAGCAAGACAGGGCCGCCACGGTTTGCGCGGCCGTCGGATCCCAGCCACCGCCGGTACCGGCGG